TCGGGGATCCCAGTCCTCGGGAATTCTTATTGTCGACACAGTTCCGGCTACAGATCCCGTGTCAAATTTAACGATCCGCTACAATTACACGAACCGCTGGCTGAGACGAAAATCGTAACACTGACGGGCGCAATTTCTCTTCCTCCATATGCAACATTCTTTTCTTTCACGAATTACCTACCGTGAAAACCTTTGGAAACACTTTCGTGTTACTACAATCTTTAAATTCCTCCACCCCTTTCGATACTATTTCTCTCGGTTACATTATAAATTACGTATTTATTGTAACAATAAATCCATCGCCGAAGTTTAGAATTTCTAAATCTACTATTCGCCTTCAACTGGCAAGGACTAATTTTAATATTCATATTTATTAACGCTAAAACTACTGAGCAGCTACAGCGATTAATTTCTAACTTTTCATAGAAATTAGAACAATACGTTTTTTGAGATTCGTAAGGTGGCCTCGTAATCTAGTCTCGTATCTGTGCAAATACACAAATTTAATTAAACATAGTTGCAAAATAAAAACTCTGAAATGGGTGAATTTGACCCGTTCGATAGTTTTAATGTTAATTTCAATATAAAATCTTCCTCACAAGTTTAATTCTAAAAACCTAATACATGTCTCCAATCAATCCAAGCCGAAAACATCTTTCCGCAATACCCATTTAGCAGTGATCTTCATCAATTCCCGGAGGTTAATCAAAGCTTCGAGTATCGGATGATCCGTTGCAGCGGCGCAAATAGGGGGTTAGGAAAAAGGGATTGAATAGAAGCGTAGGTTCGGCGTGGTTCAAAAGACGCGTTAGAGGATCGAAAGTTTTCCCGGGGACCAGCTAATCCGTTGAATAGATTCCATTTTGATCGAGGCCGAGGTGTCGGTGGTAGGTTGTCCGACAGGGAAAGGAAGGGGAGGCTCGTGTCGCGTCGCGTCGGTGCAAAGATTTTTGCCCATTAACAGTATCGACAGGGAAAAAAGAGGGTGTTGCCCAATGTCGTGCGTTTTTACGGGTCCGGAACATGGCAGCCCGGCCATTTATTATTTCCCGCCACGCACCGGCGTGCTAACAATACCGTCCATTGACAATTTCTGCTTCACACACGACGCCGCGCACCGCGACGCTCCGCCCACGATCGAACTACAGAGAGAGCCGACGAGCCCTCACCCGAGCTGAAAACTCTCGGCCGCTCTTCCTTTTTGCCGACACCGATCTTTCGGGGAAAAGATTTCAGTCCGGAACGCTCACCTATGCGTCGAAAAGCCCCGCGCGCCGACACCCACCCCCGGCCGGCAAATATTTTCTTTTCGAATTTCCCTCTGTTGGAAAACAGAACGCTCCTGCTACTATTCGTTGCTTCTGGTTATTATCACCACTCAACGCTAAACAAACGAGAAAGCTGCGGCGCGGTATACTTAATCGCTTGATACACGATCCTGTACTTTAAAAACTTTGAGAGCGTCCTTATGAACGACTCGGTGGCGGGATGGTTATCAAGAAAATGGAGGCTTTTGGTTTGTGCGATTTCTTTACGTTTTACTGCGGTTTTTAGTCTTGAAGGTTGTATTATTGAATTTACAGAAATGGTATTTATATTGACTGATAATTGAGTTTTAGATTGTTCAATTAAATAGGAATGTATGCCTAGTATTTAAGCGAAGTTCGAGTTCTGTGTTTAGTATGTGTATAGATAAGTACATTCCTCAGTTGTAAATTTTAGTTTTCTCTCTTTCTCGATTGGATTTCGTGAATAAATATTTCAAATTACTTTATCAATAATTGCAAGTGGTTAAAATAAATTTCATGTTGTGTAAATTACTGAAATATTCATTTTACAATATTTTTAAAGATGAACTGTTGTTTTTAGTACAAAGAGTTAAAACTCAAGGCAGAGGTTCGTTGCGAAAGGTAAAGGTCCAGCGGTGGAAAATGGTGGCCTCGTGTCAACGTGTTGCCGTAACCTCGGAAATAAGCGTTCTGTCGTAAATCACGAGCACGGCCCACTATTTTCACGGTATTCTCTTACTCGATCTCGAGTCGCCTTCATGCATTGTGATCGTTTACGACTTGTTTGGTGATAGACGCATTGTCAAACCCAGTTAATGCATTTATTACTTTACGGCTAGGTACCGGTATTTTCTATTACGGCGCGCGCTAACGCAACGAGACACCACGCGACACTCCTTAGATAAAATATGGCTCCGATCTATGGGTGTCAAACAAACTTTGTTATTTGGAAATTACCCGTGAAGTTAAAGGTCGTCTCGTTCAACTCAATACTTCGTCCATTATATTGTAATTTCATGTAACCGTTCACAGTTATTTCATAAATCAGTGCCTCCTAGGATTCATAACGACTATATTCTTTCTCAAGGTTTAAACGTTCGCCTGAAGGAACACGTGTATGATTGTAGCGCCATTGGTGCCAAGAATAAAATTGGATGAACAAACACACTTAATTTAGAAATTATTTTGTACCTAACATTGCATCTTTTAATGTTATTAAAACAGAATTCTCAAGGGATGAAATTACAGTTTTTAAAAGTTGATATGATAGACGGTTACTTTAAAAAGATTCACGCATAAAAATTTTGTAAATCACTGGAATTCTAAATTTTGTATATCATTCTGCAATTTAGTTAAAAGATCTATTTTCTTCGAACGAGGGTGCAGAATCAAACAGCACGTCGAACACATCGAATGTCCAAAAAATTAAGATGTCCGACTCGAAAAATTTGAAGAAGGGCCCCGGGACTTGATTTTACGATGTTTTATTTTATACTACTTAAACAACGATGTGCAGTGGTGTTGAGAGCTGAAAGGTTCGCGGAACATACGAAGAACCCTTGCACCTCGCTCGTGCTAAGGACAATGGCGCCATATTGTGAAAATATTGATTACGATTCGCCAACAATGGAGACAATGCCGTCGACTTCGCTGCCGTGGCGACACTTGAAAAAAAGAGCTTCTCAAGTACGTCTTGTATGCCTCACGGCGTCGTGTTTCGCTGAAGTCGAATCGCTTCCACGGCTGCATATATAACTATGTAGGTACAAATTTTTTCTAGGTGGTGAAAATACTTAAAAATATGATTTCAAATAATATTCTATTAAAACAGTTAATTTGATCCTCTTTAGAAATGTTGGCAATTTTAAGTAAACCTTTCAACACGATCGTATATTAGTTTCAATAGAAAATTTTTAGAGAAAAATTATATTCTTAAATATGACATTCATCTCTATATTTATTATAACGTAAAGAAAGAGGTACGTTACTTGATATTTTAATAGATATATTAAATAAATATAACAATATTGTTTATTGTTCAGTGAATTGAGGGTAATATGAGAAATGTCGGTAGGTGTATTAGAAGTGCGTAGGACATAAAGAAGCAGCGACAGCATTTAAATATTTTTCACTCTCGAGAGATCAAATAGATAGGTGGGCGGTTCGCTTCGTGCTCGCCAATAAGCCGTTGAGGTACTCGAAGAATTGTTCACGTGGTTGTACGTGTCCAACTTAAAATTGCTGACGTGCCCGCGGGCATCCTTGAACGTTAGAAAACGAGCACCGGGGAGTTGCGAACTTCCTCGTAATCAAACAGACATTTATACGAGGCAGCAAATATTTAATCCATTTCAAAAATTTATAAAATTACGCTATAAATACCATATTAACTAATGAATTTTACTTTGTTTATTCCTATAAACGTGCCTACAACCCAGATTGAAACCATCTATAAAATGCAACATAAAATATACAAAATAGATATTTCCTATAAAAATCTGATCAGAACACTAGAACTATCATACGTGCCAAAATGATGTGATTTCTTCTTTCCACAATTATCGGAAAGATAACATATGCACCTGCAAGGAATTGCTAAAGAAACTGATTTAGTATACACAAACTGAATTGTGGATCAATTGAAATCTAAATACATGCGCTCTTGGAGTTCCTATAGAAAAATTTAAAAATGTCAATTGAACCGCTCGGTAGTTTCAGTGTTAAAGTACTTAGGATGTTCCCAATAAATGGAACATTCTATACACTTATGAACCTTTCGCAACAATGACAACATAATTAACGTAAGTCGCGAAAGATGATGCATCCTGCGGCCGATGGATTTAAGCATCGAACGTCCGCTCACGGGAAGTCTGATGAACGCCAGCCCATCAGAGAATAAAGGACGGCCAAGAATGGGTGACGAATGATGCATGTACGATTTTTTTACGGCGATTCTCTCGAATGAACGAGCCATTACGAAAACGGTCAGCCTCCTCTCCTCCCCAATGCCGACAACAAAACGCCTCTCCTGGGTTAGCGAAATGCTTCTGAATCGGGCGAATTTCGAGTTTCGTGCGTATGAAACGCGCGGCTCGGGGTGTTGCGGTGCCGTCTACTGTGCAAGAGGCGAGCGAGCGAATGTACGCGCTCGCTCGAGAGACTAAATTGATCGAACCCGTTTTTGTTTGTGGTCACTCTTAAAAACTCGAGTGACAAAGAATCGTGCACCCCTTACGCCGATATGTTCGTTTCGAGCGTTTTTCTCCCTTGCCCGCTGCTCGCTGCTGCACCCCTCCCTCTCCCTCCTTTGTTAACTAGCGTGTACACTCTTTCTCGCATTTCGAAAACGGGCGGCCATTGTTCGCCGCTCCTTCTAACAGCCGAATCACTTTTTTCCCTCTTCCTCGATTAGTCCTCGCACGGATTTCGTTCGACGTTTATTTCCACTTTGTTTATGATTATCTACAGTCTACGTTGAACTCACCTCTTTCATCGGGGATTAAGTATTTTTAGATCTGATAACTTTTCGTCTAATAAGAATTAATTTAATCATTTGCCTTGTGATTTATTTCGTTAACTGGAAGGAGTTGTTTCATTATTAACGAAATTTTGAAAACTAAACAAAATATTGTAAGTATCAGCGAATTTCTGTTGTCGTATTATTGTTACGTTTATCACGTGGCAAGTGATTAGCTTATCGGTCACAAGCGTATTTATACTCTTCAGTGAGCGTAAGTCGCGTCAATACTGAAGATGTACGAAAATTACCATGCTCTTCCGTGTATTCTCTTATAAAAAATGTTAACGTGAAAACTGCAATTGCTGAATAATAATAAGTAAAAGTGAAATATGTTAAGTAATAATCATAAATAATAATAATAATAGTAATAAATAAATAATTGACGTGGTAAAACAGAGTGATCAAGTTTTTAAAATATTGATAAACCAAATTTGTGAAAAGTGTTAATCAAAAACAAAAGGAGTCGTTGATATTAAGTGTACAGTATTTTATTAAAAAATGAGCGACAGTGACTTGTGGGTACGCGACGTGCTCGCAACTTACAGTTTTTTAGCACTCGTTTTATCCGTCACAACAATTTTCATATGGAAAAGATGGCCGAATCTACAGAAAAGCATTTATAAATCGTATTTAACAGGATTCGAAGTGGAATGTGCTGAACTCGCTTTACCTTACAAGAAACATTTGTTTGGATTATTGCAAGAAATTGTTTCCAGTGACTACAGGTTACGATCCATGGGTTGTATCCGTGTGCTCGAAATTGGTGTTAAAACGGGTGGGCATCGTACGTAGTTAACAACCAGTCATCAGTTTCATACATAAGTTCGGTACAAAGTGCAATAAACAATTATCAATACCTTTCTGGCTTCACTTCGAACTCACGATATCAATAAACTGTTTTTCTTAAGGATAGATTTCTTTATTCATGGTACTAGATAATTTCCGCGATTTTTAAGACATTGTATTTGCATATCCTTAAAAAAGTTTAATAAAATATGTTCTATTCAAATACATTAATTAAGTTTACATTTTAACAACACGAAATGTTTTTAACTTTGATCCTTTTTATTGGTTCAAAGACAGCCAATTGTTGCACTGAAAAATAATAGATTATACCATTCATAATCAGCAACTCGTCACGTAACATGTGCACAAGTGTCCCTGAATATGATAAAAGAATGTTCTCTGTTCCTTAACTATTAACATTACAGGTGAAAACATACAATTTTATCCGAACAATACATATTTGATTAGCGTTGATCGAAATTTGAAGTTGGCTGAGTATTTAATTAAAGGGAATTATTCTTGGAAATTTTCACACGTCATTATCGAACGGGTAATAGTCGGTGATGGCAGTTCTTTGGAAGATGTGCCTACAGGATATGTAGATGTGGTTGTGACAACAAGATCTTTATGCTCAGTAACGTCGATACGTTCAACGCTCCGTGAAATTCGCAGAGTGTTAGCACCGGTAAAGTAATTAGAATATCGTGCTATAATAAATTATAGGCATTAATAGTTAGCAAGTTTCCAATTGAGGATACAGACGCTTCATTTATTATAAAAAAATATTTCATTTGTTAGATGACTCAGTATGACTTGTTTATTTATATGTTTTCATTTATGAAGACTAATTAACTAAGTCATTTTCATTTTAGGGTGGTCACTACTTGTTCATGGAACACATTCCTGAAAGAGAAGGAACTTTCATACGATGGTTACAGAAAGCATTATCACAAACAAAAATATGGCCCTCGTTGTTCGGTGGTTGCCATTTAAATGTTGATATTATGATGAACATTCAAAATGCTGGTTTCGACCGCGTTTCGTGGGCCATGTTTACTCTCGAAGGTTACGTGTCACAGACCTTTCACCTGATCCTTTCGAAACAACATATATTGGGCGTTGCAGTTCGATAATTGTAAGTAGCAAAAAACAAAATGAACACAAGAAATAAAACTGAAAATTGAAAATAACACGAATAAAATTCACGTATTAAATATGTTAATAGAGCAAAATTGTATTGTCACTGTGTTCATGAAAATCTCTCGAGAATTATCGTAAGAACATTTAATTGCAAAAAATATTCATAAAAAATTGGCATTTGTATAGAATGAAAATTGTTTAAAAGGTCCGAGGATGCATACATTCGTAATCATATGGAATTGTGCATCCCCCAAAATTCGTGAAGCACCTGTGAGCAGGCAACCAGCTTTGCACTGGTGCCCATTGGGCACTAAGAAGTTATGCTTATTTAAAACACTTTTTGTTAAAAACCTTTACATTTTATGGAAAAGTATAAGTTTTAACATTTAAAAAATACAAATAAACCTAACAATCTTATTAATGTAATTACAAGATAAAAGTAAAATTAATTCACTCGTGTCTATGAAATGTTATGCAACCATTCGTATCAGTTGATGTAGAAAATACAAATAATTTAAATTAATTGAAGAATATTTAATCTCCAATTACCCAATTACCAAAATATTTCATTTGCGTAATATAAACGTAACTTGATATTGAATTTGGTAAAACAGCAAGCTAATGAGCAAAGAACTGGATAAGAAAAGGGCATGATATTATCAACGAAAACAACGTTCCAGTAAAATAATTATATTAAAACATAACTGTATTGAAATTACATACATCATATAAAATTTGGAAGTTATTTCATTTTTACATTGTTGTTTCTCAGTTTTATATATCGGAAAGTTAATTATGGTTAAAGTTAACTACAACTAAAGTTAAATTATAGTCAAATAATTATATACTACTAGTAATTACTAGGAAGATCATTCTTTTTAATTTTAGTCGACGCGTGAAATGTAATTTATACGTCAAAACAATTATACCAAAAAAATACGAACAATAATATGATGGAAGTATAGAAGTAGGGAATTCACTTCATATTATCACTGACAAATAATATTGAATGTAAAATTCGAGTAAAAACCTTAAAATCTGAATCTAATTGCTTAAAAAGAATACTTATAAGTGTACACTCATCTTTTTGGAACATAATATGTATACTTAGTCACTAATTAAAATATGATTGACATTAAAAAAAAATTAAAACATATCACCTTAGTATTATTTATATAAAGCTTCAAAGGCATTTTGATATCACACTCGCACACACACGTGAAAATAATTTCCACAAAAATGCAAAATGCTCCAACGATTTACATTTTCGATGAAATTAGAATACTTGAAAAAGCTTTAAAAGTGTTAATATGCCTCTGTATTTTAAATCGACTATGAGATGAAATATAATCTAAAATAACGTATAAAAGATTTATAAATTTTGTAAATTTAAACACATTTAAATTAAACTCTTTAATTAAATTCACTTAAACATGTGAACACGTCAAAGAAATATAGTCCTGTATTGTCTATAATATAGACTTCGTATAGACTCTACATAAAATATACTTAAAACAACAGAAATTATTGCCGCACATTCATTTTAACAAGTTCATTTTTTCCACGTGTTTATCAGAAACAAACTGTTCCACGTCATTACGTTTGCACTTTGTTCTGTTATAATTTCTTTATATGCATGGTGTTACGAGATGTCCTAATACATATATATTACTTATGACGAAGTAATTTTATAATGTATCACAAAATTTATATTGTTGAAATGTTATGCTATAAAAAACAGTGCACATATTATTTATCTTCACGAAATTCAATTTTCGTAAACGTAACTTACCGCACATGAAAATATAAGTGCATCTTGTTGAATTAAATCGTCAAGTTTTACGATATTTTCGATCTTAATAGTTACATTTAGTTTTTAATGAACTAAAAATAGAAGTTTTAAAACGGAAGTTTCTTCATGTAAATTTTATATGAAGCAACTAATAATTAAACATTATTAATAAACTGATACTTCTGAATCAGAATCCAACAGTTTTGTTTGAAAATATAAACGATTTTCGTTTAATTTCCCTCTAGTTCTTTTGTTGTTCGCACTATGTGTATATACTTCCATTTGATTTTTAATTACAGTCTGAGTTTTGCTTTTCTCTACACTAGAATTTTTCTCTTTATTTGTAAAAAGTGTAGATCCTGTCTTTCGGGTTTCATATATTGTTGTACGTAAAGAATTCTTCTTTCTTGGTCTTTCTAACGATATATCTGAATCAGAATCCAATAAATAGTGTAAACTATTTTCGTTTACTTTTCTTCTACTTCTTTTGCTGCTCGCACTATGTGTATATACTTCCATTTGGTTTTTAATTACAGTCTGTGTTTTGCTTGTGTCTACGCTAGAAGTTTTCTCTTTATTTTGAAAAAGTGTAGATCGTGTCCTTCGAGTTTTATATATCATTGTATGTAAAGAATTTCTCTTTCTTGACGTTCTTAGATTTGGTTTTCTAAACGTGCTGGTTACATTAGGTTGAGAAAATAACGGACTTTGTAATCCTAGTACACGTTTATTTACATCATTATCAAGAACAGAAATGTCATTTAAATCCATATCCGTAGTATTGTCAAGAGATTCATTTATATTTTGTGGTATAAGTTTTACAAACCCATTTTCTTCATCAGACAATTCGTACAGTCCTAGTACACGTTTATTTGCTTTATTATCGACAAAAGAACTATAACTTGAATCTGTATTTATACTATTGTCAAGAGTTTTATTTATATTTCGTGGTATAAGCTTTACAAACCCATTCTCTTCATCAGATAATAAAAAGTCATCTGATTGACGTTTCTCCCTCTTATCATCATTTTTATCAGGACTCTTGTCAGGACTATTCTTATTAACTGGTTTTACTTTCTTAGAACGCAATGCATTTTTAATACGCTTGCATGAATCAATACATACATTTGATATAGTATCCATATTTTGCTTAGAATATATATTACTATTATTTGTTTTATTAATCTTATTAACTCTTAAACTATAACCATTCTTATTAGATTTCGTTTCCTTACTTTTTGGAGCTTCTTCTGTTTTCTGTATACAGTTTTCATTAGACTTATCAACAGTATTATTAAGCGAGTTCAATGATTTATTTTTATAAACATCGTTCTCTACCATTTTTAAGTTTTTACGTAAACTGACATCAATTACATCAGTCAAATTACTTGTAGAAGAACTACAAGGTACGTTATTTTCACATTGATAAATTAAAAGAGTGCTTTGATTACTGTCTGTATCTTCAGACAGATTAATGGTTTTACTTTTATGAAATCGTGTAATTGAGTCACCTTGCAGAAGCTGAGTAGGTTTTAAGTCGTTATCTTGAGTTTGTATAGTTTCAGATGATTTTTCAGTATTACTATTGGATTTATTAAGATTGACATTAACCTTAATATCAGTATCAGATAATCGCGTCAAACGAACTATGGGATTTAAATTACAAGAAATTGTCGATATTCTATTTACTTCTGTGTGTTCCTTTGTATTAAACCTTGATACTTGTTTGAAATTAACTACTGGCTCTAAATTCTTAAGATTTTTGGATGATTCCCTCGACTTTTGGTATTTCTGTATATTGGATTCTGATAATCGTTTTAAACCAATTACTGGATCTAAACTTTTTAAATCTATGACAATATCATTCGATCTACTGTACTTCCATATTTCGAACTCTGATAGTCGTTTCAAACGAATTACTGGGTTTAAGTTTTGAGGACTTATTTTCTTAGTTGATTTTTTACATTTTGATATAATAGACTCTTCTGTTTGTCTTGAAGAAGCTACTACTGAATTTTTTAATTTTCCCCAAGTAGTAATAGGTTTTTTAAATTCCATTGCATCCTTCATTGAGTTATTTAGTATTCTGCCATTGCTAATTATTGAATCAGTAGATTTATTCACATTCTGATTACTGCATTTTATTAACGTACTATTTGCATCAACTGAACTATTCTTTTTTGATTTCGTTAAAATACTTATAGTTGACAAAGTTTCCTTAGAACGGAACAAGTTTATCAATCTCGTCCTTCTTTTATTGTAAATTTTATATCGCTTCTTTATTCTGCATCCAGATTCTAATGCAGGATGTGAAAATTTTGTTAACGATAATCTATTCTTACCTAAATTACTCATACGAGCAATGTCAACAGGTGAATCTCTACCAGTGTATAACTTTTTACGTTGACTTAATTTTGTAGAGCTATCTTGAAATGGATAATTGTTTTCCATTAAAACAGTTTCTTCAGAATTTTCTGATTCTGTACGTCTGATTTTATTATTAGAAATTATATGCATTAATTTCTCACTGAACAGTTGACTACCTCTATTCATAGTAGCTCTATTCAGATCTCTACATGAACTTTGTTGTACTTGTGTTGTTGCATTTTTATCTAATATAGTATCTTCTTTATCTATTACAATTTTCTCAGTTTCATAAGAATAAATCGAGGAAGGTGTCTGATGGTTAGTCTCACTCGTACATCGCACAGGACTTTTATCATTAGCTTCGCAGATTTCATTGTTGGAATGTTTTGATGTTTCTACATTATGTAAACTTGTATTCTGAACATCTGATGATACATTCTGTCTTGATCCTTCTACAATAGCCAAAGTATTTGCTTTGTTAGTTGTATTCATGTTTGACAGAATATATGCAGCAGTATCAACAGAACTACTAGAACCATTTTCCCCACAAGTTAGTTTTGGGAAATATTCATTGGACGTTTCATCACCAGTGCAATGCTCTGATTGCTTATTTAGATCCATAGATGTTTTATATGGAATTCTGCCAGTATCTACCCAATATTGTACAAAACTTGGTGCTTTATTTATAGGTGCACAAAGTTTAAGATTCAATATATTTAATTCAGTTTTATCTGAGAACTAAAATATTGTATAACCAAAATTATTATTATTACTTCTATTTATACAATACATATTTTTGTTTACATAAGCCATAAAATTTCTCATACCTCTTCTGTGTATTTCTCAAATAAATCATTCCAAAATTTTTCTCTTTTATTTAATACTTCAATAGGTATCATGACTGGTACATCATGATTAATACCAACAATCCTGAAACATGTGCAAAATTTAGATGATTAATTAAATTAATTAGAAATATTTAGAACAATTATAAAAATATGTATATTATAAATGTTTAAATTTAAAGTGTTTATTGTTATGTTGGATATGATTAACCAAACATATTAGAAGATACTCTTGTTAATTATTAAATCCATATATGTCTGAATTAGTTGTATGAGAAAACTTTTGTATACTAATTAAATATTCTACAAGTATTTTTTATGTATGTTAAAAACACAAAACTAACATTTTAATT